GTTTTCGTGAGTTTGAGCCCCGCGCCGGGCTCTGTGCTGACAATGCAGACCCTGCTTGGGAATCTCTCTCTCCCCCCCACCTCTCTGCCCCTCCCCTGCTCATACTGTCTCTCTCTTAAAATAAATAAATAAACTTAAAAAAGAATTTAAAGAGAAATGATCATCCTTCAGCCCTGAGGGAGTGACTTTCCAGAATTCCTTAAGAAGCCCTACAATCTGATGGGAGGCTGCTTGAATGGCCACGTGGAGATCACTTTTCCACGAGCCTCAGTGCGTGAGGCTGCCTGTGGCGCAGACGGGCCAGTGGCCCACTGGGTGACCATATACACCTCCTTGTGAGCCGGGAGTGGGAGGAGCCTAGTTGGTCCTGTCCGACTTCTACAGCAGTGAATCCAGAACATAGCAGTTCTGCCTCCTGGGCATCAGATGTTCATCGTGTCCTTTAACACGCCTCTTGGGAGCCTCTGACGCGCGTATTCTCGGTTTTCCTCGGCAGACGACAGGGGTGGATTTGGTGGTGAAGACGGTGCCAGTCCCTGACACGGGGGACAGCGTGGTAAGTGGTGCCCTTGACCTGAGAGAGCTCACCGCTCCTCCAGCTGGGCCCAGAGTCCCTGTGGTCACTCTCTTCCTCCCTGAGAGGGAATACTGTACCAGCACTTGGCCTAGGCTTGTCTGAGCACTTGGGAAGAGTCGTTGATGCGGGCTGGGAGGACTGGGATATGGGCCCTGCCCTCACAGAACTTACTGGAGTATCAGGGTCCTTAACCCGGGGCCCTGTATGGGAGTCCACAGCTCTGGAAATTGAATCGCAAGGCATTGTGTTTGCATGTGCTTTCCTGGAGAGAAGGTTTAAGAATCCCCACCTTCCACGGGGCGCCTGGGTGGCTCAGTCAGTTAAGCGTCCAGCTTCCACTCAGGTCATGATCTCGCGGTTTGTGGGTTCGGGCCCCGCATCGGGCTCTGTGCTGACAGCTCGGAGCCTGGAACCTGCGTCGGATTCTGTGTCTCCCTCTCTCTCTCTGCCCCTCCCCTGCTGGCGCTCTGTCTCTGTCTCTCTTTCTCGCTCTCTCAAAAATAAACATTAACAACAACAACAACAAAAGAATCCCCGCCTTCTTAAAGAGATCCATGAGAAAACACAGTTTTAGGTACCCCCGATGCAGTGAGAAAGCATGAAACGCAGATTACAGCACTGACCTTCAGACCGTGTGCCGGGGTCAGAAGCCAGCCAGGGGGCATCAGTGCCCAGGGGAGCCGAAGGGGGAGACTTCCCAGAGCAGCAGCATCGGGGAGGGGCTCTCGCATGGGCTGGCCGAGGTTCGGTCAGGGGCAGGAAGGGTCATCCTCCGTCTTCTGTCTGCATCCCACCATCGGAGACCGACGGCAGGCTGTCCTACTTTAAGCGCCTTCCCCAGGCCTACTCGGTGACCTGCTTTAAAAAAGAATTGTCTGAAGATCTGAAAATCAATTTGGTTAACAAAGTGCAGAATGACCTTTTGGAAACCAGAGCACGTGTCAGCCTGTTTAGCACTCCTGGGACTTTTGGGTTCGGGGTGAGGAGAGGTGAGCCGCCACACAGAAAGTGCTGGTTGTGCCGGCTGTCTCAGGTCTGCGGTGAGCCCAGCGTCGTCTCGGGGACTTGCGGCCAGCGATTTCCCCTCTACATGCAGACTTTCTTGGGACTTGCCTTTCTGGTTCTAGGAACTCTTCATTTTTGACTCTGCCGGCAAGGAGCTGTTTTCGGAAATGCTGGATAAATTGGCAAGTAGCCTGCGATCTTTTCCCTAACCCCCCGCCCCTGCCCCCTTCCGCCAGAAAGTTGACCCCTTCGCTGCTCTCCCGGCAAGGTCACTGCAGCCTGGCTGCCTGGAGGACAGTGCTACCAAGGCAGAGTTCTTCAAGGGCCATTCCTCCCCGCCTTGGGACTTGGCGGCTTCTTGGCCAGCGGGACTGGCTCGTGCACGTGATTCCCCCGCCCCCAGCTCTGGAATGGCCGGGTTCAGAATGTGCCGGAGCCGTGTGACTCAGTCCCCGCAGCACTCTGGGCCCCCCTTCTTTAGACGGCCCCCACTGGTGATGCCAGGAGCAAATATTTCCTTCTCCCTGTAGCGAGAGACTCACCTTGGCCCAGTCCCCGGGGTTTGCTCTGGGCCCTGTGCCTACTGCCGCCCCAGGCCTATCGTGCCCACCCGCCCATCCTCTCAGGATCCCGCTTGCCGTACCTTCCAAGGTAACAGTTCTGCTAATCCGGGCCAGTGAGCTAATTACAAGGTTTGAGCTCTCCAGAGCCCTCCCCTGCCTTTCCAAGAATGGCCACATTTTAATAGAAATCGTTTCCTGCCCCTTTTTTGTGGTCTAAAAGAAAGAGATCTGATGATTGTCATCTCTCACGGGCTTGGCTTCGTGCGTCAATCCGTGATGTTTACGGCGTGCCTGCTGTGGGCACGGCCTCGCCCTGGGTGCTGGCCTGCGGGGCAAAGGGAGGATGTGTCTGGGCAAGTCAGGGCCACCTGGTACCGATCGGCCCAAACCCTGACTCGGGTCTCCTGCGCTGGCTCCAGCTCGATCCCAGGCCTGTCCTGGGTCACCTCACTGAGGCCTAGAGGAAAGAGGTGTCTCCCTCACGCACAAAAGGGGAGATCAAGCAAGACTTCTTGAGTTAGTCTGCGGAGTGAAGGTGCGAGGGGTTCATCCGCTCAGTCCAAGCGGCAGCCTAGCCTTGGGAAGGAGTGAGCCCTCTAGAGCCAATCCTGGGCTGGCCTTGCCAGGACAACTAGAGGGAGGAAGGATTCTTCCCCACACCCTGGAGGTTACGGACACACCAGAAATAAACTGTAATTGTGCAGGACGGGGGTGCCCAGAGGGGAGGGCAGGGTAAGAGAGCCTCACACACCAGGACGGGCATCACAGCCTGAGCAGGGCTGTCCTGTGCCCTTGTGCCGGGCAGCAGGACGTCCCAGGACTCCGAGCGGCCCCTGAAGGCGACGGCCCGCGAGGGCACGGCCCTGGTTCGTAATTGGGACAGTGAGCCCTGTCCAGTTGTTGGTCTGGTTTGGACTGGGGCTGGCACGCTGCAGAAGAAGCAGAAAGTGCCCTTTGCATTGGGAACAGCCAGCCCTTATTAGGAAGATGCGGGACAAACAGGTTTCCCGTGGCTGGCTAATGGAAGAAAGGATGCCTATTAGGCCTGCAAAGCAGAAAAACCTAATGAATGAAACCAGTGGCAGGCCAGAGCTTTTCTGGGTAGAAAAAAGCCTCAGTCCTACCCCAGTCATTAAAGCATGTCTGATCTGGGCAAGTCAGTTACCCTCTCTGAACCCAGTGTCTTTAGCTAGGCAGCAGGGATATTGAGACGGGCCCTGCAGGGTCGGGAGGTTTCTCAGCCACGCACAGAACGCGCCCAGCAGGCAGCCTGGCGCGGAGGTGAGCCCGTGTGCCCTCCCCTTCGTTCCTTTGGGTGAATTGTTTTCTCCCGCGGGCTGGCTCAGTTTTCTGACTCTCATCCCTAGTAGAGGTTGTCTCCCCACCCCCTGTCCCTTCCCTCGGAAGGCCAGATTTTTCTCCCAGCCTAGAAATCGCTGTCACCGTTACTGACGTGCACTCATCCGGCCCGTCCCGCACAGTGGGAGAGTCCCAACGTCTTGTGTCTCGTCTATGACGTGACCAACGAACAGTCCTTCACCAACTGCAGCAAGTGGCTGGAGAAGGCTCGGTCCCAGATCCCAGGCACGTCTCTCCCAGGTAGGAGCTGCGGCCATCTGCGTTTTCCAGCAGCACCTCTGTCCCTCAGGTCCACGGGCGCGAGGTCATTGCAGGGGTGGCTACGGGTGTAAAACAGGGTGCCCCCGGCTTTGAGTATGGTGGTCTGGATTGAACAGTGGCTCTGCCTCTTAGCACACTCACCACACACCTCCGTGAGTCCGTAACACGGGCAGATGACGCCCCTCGCCCCCCACCCCCAGCCTTGCAGGGTGACGGAGAGGAGACTCAAGATAATACGGGGAAGGTGCAGTGATAGGAATGAGATTTTATTTCTGAAAGCCAGCCCTGGGGATGAATTCCTCATTTTCTCCTGTATGTGGGGCGCAAGTAAACATTCAAGTCCTATTGTCACTTCTGAATGCTTTAAATCAGTTTATTTTTCATCCCTATGTGAGATCAACAAATTCCCCTCATTAGAGACCAGGGAAAGCGATCTCCAGAGACGGGCTCAGAAATTAGTTGCAGCTGATGCAGCTGGGAATGGAACTAAATTACCTCTGAGTCCCTGACTCTGAGCCCAGCCCTTAGATTAGTATTAATGACCATTTTTAACGTTTGCTCCATGTGCTAGGAATTATCACAAATGCTCACATAAATTTGGCCCTCGCCTTGCAGCCTTAAGGAGACAAGGCAGACAGATCCACGTGAAGTCTAGGAGAAGGGCTGAACAAGAGCTGTGTGGGAAAAGCAAAGCCCGCCTACTCTCCTGGGGCCCTCGGGGGCCGGCCCTGGACCCTCTCTCTCTCCCGGTGCTCACCACCTCGAATCAGGCAGCCTCCCCCAGCGTTTCAGACCCCTCAAAATCCGTGTGCTTTGCTCTTTTCTCTCTCCAGCTGTCCTCCCAGGCTGCCACAGTTCAATGTGATGCTTTGGTTGTTTCTTTCGAGTAGGTGTGTTAGTGGGGAACAAGACAGACCTGGCCGGCAGACGGGCGGTGGATTCGGCTCAGGCCCGGGCGTGGGCCCTGGGCCAAGGCCTGGAATGTTTTGAAACATCCGTGGTAAGTACCTCTGCCTGCTCCGTGGCCACGTCTGGACTGGGCCCCTGCTGGGTGTGGTTTCTCATGTGACCTCATAGGCATGGAGTCAGTATGCTCCCATACCCAGGTTGTCATTTGGAGCTGATGTTCCCATTCCTAGTCCAGGATCTTTTCTCAGGAGCCACTTGTGCGCTACGGTAAAGCAGATTGGCCAGCCGGCCCTGGAAAAAGTTGTTATCTCAGTTTAATAAGAAACACAAGCGCGTTGGGTTCGATCGTAGCGACCGTTGGCATTTGCGTGAGACGGGATGGATCACGGTGCTGCCGGCACATTATCTGACGGTCCTCACGGTACCGTGGGCCTGGGAGCCGGGCCCTTAATAAGCCCCACTTCCGTGTTGAGGAGGTGAAGGGACTCGCCCAAGGTCCCATGACTGTTCAGTTGCCGTGCGGATGTGAACCTTTTAAATCCCCCCCAAGTGGCCTGCTCCCTTGGGAAAGCGTCGCGGGTAAAGGCCAGCACTCTGCCCAGCGATGGCGAAGCAGCAGGACTGAACCGTGGGACCTTTGGCGGGTCCGTTAGTTTCTTGGTGCCTCAGGCTCCTCACCTGTAAAATGGGGATAATAAACTCCCATTCCTCATTGAGTGACAAATAGAATTAAGTCAGATGGCGAATACGAAAACATTGGCACAAAGCCTGGTGCGTAACACACGCTCGATAAATATTTGCTTTTTCACATGGAATTATTCCCCCTAGTCATCTTCTGGATAGTGGTGTTGCCTCAAAGTTTTGCAATCCTAGATTCTGCAAAGGTAAGTGTCCCTCTTACCTTCTGGCCCAATCATCGCAAATGCTCAACTAATGAAATTCCAATTCGTGAGCTTTTGAGGATAGGGTTTTCTCATCTTTGGTGTCGTGTGCCCTTGAGCCACCCACATCAGGCCATACGGTAAGAGCTTGGATTGCGAGTAACTTGTTCTGCGAATGTTCCGCCAGGCAAGCAAACGTTGTTGTTTTTTTTTTTTTTTTTTTTTTTTTTTTTTTTTTAAAGCTTATTTATTTTGAGAGAAACAGAGACAGCGCAAGCAGGGGTGGGGTGGAGAGAGAGAGAATCCCAAGCAGGCTCCACGCCATCAGCACAGAGCCCCACACGGGGCCCGACCCCACGAACCGTGAGGTCATGGCCTGAGCAGAAACCGAGGGTTGGACGCCTAGCCGACTGAGCCACCCGGGCGCCCCCAGAACTTACTCATCTTAAAACTGGAACTTGGCGCCCCTCGCTCATTTCCCCCACCTCCCCTGGCAACCCCCCCACCTGCTTTGTGCTGCCGTGACTTCTGTTTCTTCAGATCCACGCGTAAGCGAGAATCTGTCTGCCTTCTCTGTCTGCCTTCTTTCACTTAGCATGATGCCCTCAAGGTTCAGCCATGGTGTCACAGGCAGCAGGATTTCCTTCCCTTTTATGGCTGAACAATATCCCATTACGCACATACACAGACCACGGTCTCTAATTCATCCGTTGATGGACACTTAAGTTGTGTGCACATCTTGGCTATTAGGAATAATGCAGTGAGCATGAGGGTCCAGACATCTCTTCAAGGCAGCGATTTCATCTCCTTTGGGTATTTACCCAGAGGTGGGATTGTTGGACTGTCCGGTAGTTCAAGTTTTAACAGTTGAGGGACCTCCACGCTTTTCCAGAGTGGCCTCATCCCTTTGCGTTCCTACCAGCAGTGCCGGGGG